GAATCTTTAGGAATTCTATCGATTAGGGATGATGATCGATCAAATGACGATATCGTTTATAATAAATATTTATTCAACAATGTGCATAAGAAAAATACAAAAAAAAAAAAAAAATAAATAAAAAGAAAAATACAATGAAAGAAATTTATTCAATAAACTTAGTCATCGGTTTGGTACGAATAAAGAGAAACGCATAAACACGAATCGAAGGTTAAGAAGAATAAAAAAAAAAAAAAAAAACAAAAAGGCGTTCGTCGTGCATCGATTCTTAACTCCTTCATTAAGCTAATCGATCTTGAAAAGAAATGATTTGCTACCCACGGGATTCCAAGTTGGCGAACAACATGTATAATTGATTCCTCTTACTTTGTTAGGGCGTTCAAAGCGATAAACGACTCTCATTAACGAATACCATCATCGCCGATATTTAAAGCGCAAATTGAGTTAATGATATTCTCAATGAGAGATGCGTGCCTGATTGAAAATTGCAAATGGATGGATATAAAAGTGGGGGGAGTTCGTCTTGTTGTATTTCAGGTGCAACTTTGCCCAACGGTTTTAATAGTTGCATACATACATAAGTTGTTGCAGGTAAAAAAGGCATTGAAGTCTCTTCTAAAGTTTTTACTTACCACGGCCATAACGATCATACCGTTCGGCACGAGTGACTCTCGGTAAGGATTTGCTTTTCGACTCACCTGAAACGGAAAAGAAAAGAGAATCTTGCATTAGTACTAATAAAGGTACGATATATTTCCTCGTTAAAGAAAAAGAGATGGAGAAGAAGGAGAAGGATAAGAAAAAGCTAAAAAAGAAGGATTGAGAAATGTGACGGTTAAGAAGAAGAAGGATCGGGGGAGGAAGGGAGGAGGAGGACGAGAGGGAGGAGGTTGGTTCAGTTACACAATCCCGTTTCGCGACGGAACTTTTTCGCGGGACTGCTTTTTCACGGCATGGCGCAGGGAGTTTAATGGATGCTCCGACGACCATATCCGAGAGAACACGCTCCAATTCTCTTGCAACGTTTTACTTCGAGCGCCGCCTTACGAGCACTTTGGAACTACATTCCGCGTCTCTCCTCTCTTCTCTATCTCACTCTCTCTCTTTCTCTCTTAGTACCCCTATATACCCCGTTTAACTGTACATACATACGTTTTTAAATCTAGATGGATCGATTTAATCCACTTTTATTTTATTCCTTCATTTGATTTGTTTTTCGTTTCTATCGGTGCATCGGTATTAAAACGAACACGCGCGCGGTTAAGATTTTTACGATAAAATATATACATATGTGTAAAATAAAGAAAAAAATGACAACCCCTAGCGGACAAACAACAGCAAAGTGTAAATGGATAATTATTATTGCGAAGAATAATTTCTCGAACAGGTCGATGAAGTAGAGTCGCGTGTCTCTTATCCGTTAATCGTTTCTCTAGTATACGTGTAAGTACTACACGTATATACGTTTTTCAAGGACAAGTGCAGTTCCACGGTGGCGGAACGAGCGTGCATCTCGACCTTGAAAATAACGAGTACCTACTCTTCTTCTTCTTCTTCTTCTTCTTCTTCTATCTCTCTATTTGAACGACTTTCTCAACTAATTGCACCTCCTCTCTTTCCTTATGTCTTTTTCTTTAACCTGCATTCGTAGTGTATGCTCGTCACTTGATACACGGAGAAATATCGAATAACACGCGACAAGGATATGCGTACCGGATACTACATCAAGGCATTGATTAAGACGACCAATGAAAAAAGCCTATTACGATTATATTCCTTCAGTATGAGAATTCAAACTCAGAAATTTGTCGACTTATCCGCACCTGCAGATATATCCTGTATAGTTGTTGTTTTTTTTCTTCCTTTTTTTTTATTTATAAGATAACGTTATAATATATCCTACTCATTATGCGTGATGTACATGCGTGTACATACTTTTCGATTTCCCCTTAAAGGATAAACCCAAACGACAATCGTTAATTTCGTTTATATAGGCTAACTAGGGGTGTCCCGCCATGCATTGCTGTGGCTCACAATCAGTCCGATACACACGTCTTTAAGTCAACGAATTACCTTATACCGATTATAAATTGAGATATAAATTATCCTATCTTTCAAGTTGGATGAAACTGCATACAGTGTGCAAAATTTTATTCAAATCGGTTCAGTAGTTTAGTAGTCCATTGCGGACAAACAACGTGACACATAATTTATATATATATATTAAGAAGAAGATAAGATTACTTAAACATTATTTTTAGCTTCTTGGTTTTCTTTCGATCAAGGATGACAATAAACAGTACTATATATATATATATATACATACCCACACGCGTGCACACACGTATTTAATTAAATAATTAAGGAGCGGTATGGTGGCCTATAAGATGAGAATACTTCAACAAGAGAATTGAAGTATAAATTTATACGCATTTATCTTTTCAAGTTCTCTTTTATAATTTTGTTCTCTTCTTCGAAGAAATACGAAATGAGAGAGTGAGAGGGAGAGAGAGAAGGAGAGAGAGAAAGGTAGAAAGAAAGAGACAACGTGATACTTTGACCTAATACAGTCAGGAAAGTAGACGAGCGCGCAAGTTAATTGCCAGATGAGAATCGTTAAGGGACCTACTACTGCATAATAAAAGCTATAGAAAGAGAAAGAGAGAGAGAGAATGGGTTTCTTTCGAGGAACGAAGAACAGAAGAAGAGGATTCATCCAATGAGCCAATAAAACCGACTCTCTTCGTGTATTTATCCTATTAGCCGCACCATAGCGCCTACACTTTGTATTTATAACGATCGTTTACTTTCTCTCTCTCTCTCTCTCTCTCTCTCTCTCTCTCTCTCTCTCTCTCTTTCCTTCAATCTTTCGACGTCTCTCCATAGACGACATTTAACGTTTCAAGTATCATTACTTTCATTCTTTCTTTATTTTGTTCTCTCTTGAACCATTTGATTCCTCTTCTATTACATCCAAGACACCACCTGATTTCAATAATGAATTTAATTTTTTGATTTTTTTTTTTTTCATTTTCTTCCTAGGTTTCAACATTTCCATAATAATAATTAATCAGTTAAGCGTGTTTGACGACTATATCCGTCATTTGCTTGATTATCGCGACACACACCGTAGGAGCGCGCGCACTCTCTGCGCACAGATCGTCGCCACACTTAACTGGTTAAAAAATATAATGTTATTTTTTGTTTTTTGTTTTTTCTTTAATATACGACCACCATCATCTGCGTGCTTCCCCTCGAAACCTCCAAACGATCTCGGTCCCCTCTATAAAAATATTCTCTTTTCTTGTTTTTATTTTGTCGAATGATTAATTCTCGTTGTGTAGGTAAATCGTTCATCATTTTTTGTTTTTTTTTTTTTTGTAAATGGTAAAAGAATGTAACGTGGAATGAAGAAAAAGGTTTGTTTGAAAAACATATATGTATTGTATATACATACGCTTGGTATTACAAGTCGCGATATCCTGCGAGACGTATCGAATTCTCATTTTGTCAGAATCCTTTAACAAAAACTCGCAATCCTCCTCCTCCTCCTCCTCCTCGTTCTTCCTCCTTCTTCTCTTGTACTTCCATCGACCGCGAAAACGCGACGATAATTTTTGATCGCGAACGATCATACGTATCGTGACATCTTGTTTCTCGAAAAAACCATCAAAATTGTGAATCCTTCGATAACGAACGATCGACCATAACACACGACCGCATTCCTTTCATTAACAAATTATGCAAAACATACGCGCACGCACAAATAATAAACAAATAAGATATTAGTACAATTAGCAAAAAAAAAAAAGAAAAATCAACGCACACAAATATAAAAAATAATAAAAAATTGTGTAAAGTGGTAATAAAGATGTTAATTCGCACACACGCGCACAAATTAGAAATAAAATAAATAATATATATATATATATATAACACTTGAACCGGATTGTCGTAAAAAAAATAAAAAAAAAAACAACGAATTGGACAACGGTACGCACCGGAAAAGATAAAAACAAATAAAATGACATTAAGTAAGTAACATAAAAGAAATAAAGATGAAGAATGGTCGTTGAATCGGAATAATCCGTTTGGCTGTTTCTCTGGTTACAGATCGGAGAGCAAGAAGCGTACTGTCGCGAACGGAGGCTGGCTATGAAAGTAAATATTAAAGTCGATCCGCCTCGTTCGAGCGAGATCAAGCGTTAAGTGCCGAGAATGTGTGTCACGTGGGTGCCGGCATACGAGATCTTCCTACCTATCTGTATAGAAATACTTATATACATTTATATATATATATATATATCATATATATAGATATGTGTGCGTATGGGTGTGTAAACGTGTCCCCCCCCCCTCTACACAGCATCCTTCTTCGCTGAACCATAAACGTAACTACTTGCGTTCTTCTTAAAGGATGTATCTCGTTGCCGTTAGACATACTTTACACGATATTTTACATTATTTCTAAATAATCATATAAAACTCGTTTCGTTCGCAAGAAATATTATTACTATTATTATTATTATTATTATACTATTTTTATTATCGACTATCGTTCAATCGTCTGTTAGAAATTTCTTTCGTAAAATTTAAAACATTGATCTAATTGGAGCAAGGTTGATATATATATATATATTTCAATAACTTGACCAAAATTTATTACGCGATATTTCTTTTCAATTTATTTCAATTAATTTATCTTTTCCAGCTTTTGGAAAATCCGATAAAAACAACAGATGTGTGTGCAGATCATACACGGTAGAAGTGAAACCTTCAAAGAAAACCAAGCTTCTAAATAATTGAATTGTAATACAGTGTCATCTATTGAAAGAACCTTACAGAACCTAGATAACCTCTAAATAAAAATTGTGCAATGTGCTAAATTGGAAAAAATCACGTGTGAAATAAAATTAATTTCATTAAAATAAGTTGGGTAGTTTCGAAATTATTACATGGACAAACACATATTGTGACACTGAATTTTTAAATATAGAATTTGATTAATTAATTAATTAATTATTTTTGTTTCATCGGTTTTACGTTCTTCCATTTCACAATTTTCAAATCACCCTGATTATTCTAAAGAAATGTTCACTTTAAAAATATAATAAAAATGTTTCGTTATCCATTTTTTTATTAATTAAAAATCTCTATGTGTGGGTGTGTGTAAATCTTTGAAAAAAATGCGTATATTATTAGACCGAAGAGTACATAGAAATAAATGAAAAGAAATAGACATATCTATCGGTTAAATCAATTATACGCTTATGTATGTATATGTGTATGTATAGATAGATACCTGATTCAAGATCATCGTGATCGGCACCACGAAGACAGGAATGAAAGCTTCGTGAGAGTCTTCGTCCACCGGGCGAGGCACTTTCTGTCGTGGTTGCCTGCATGATCGATCGTTTCAACTCACCAAACTCACACTTGGCAAATTCACTTTTGCACTCGCCTCGGTCCATCGCGATGAAAACGTCGACGACGAGACATTTCTCTATTTCTCTCTTTCACTCTCGCGAATCTCGGGTTTTTCTCCTCGATTTTCGAACGATACGCGAAAAATGAAAAATCCTGATATCGCTAATTAAAACCAGTCGTCCCACTTGATGATAAAGATCATTAATTCGATTAATAATCCTAAGTTTCCATTATTATTTTCTTTTTGACTGTAAATAAAAAAAAAAGGATA